TTGCTGCTGTTGAATCAGCATATCAACATCCCTGTTGGGGAATGACAATGTTAACAGAAATTAAATTGGAACAGCTACACAAATGTTGTGGCTACTAGAGAAGGTCAAATATTGAGACTATTCCGTGTTCATTGTCCATCCTCTGTGAGGCGCAGGTTTGCATATGATCGAGTACTCCCCACTTGCCTGGATGAGTGCAGCTCCGACAATGCTCAAGAAGCTCAACACCATCCAGGACATGGCAATCTGCTTGATCACCGCCCACTTAGCATCTTAAACACGGGCTCCCTTCAGCACCAGAACACCCCAGGACAGGAGTGTGCGCCATCTACAAGATGTGGTGCAGAATTCACAGAAAGTACCTTCCAAAATGGCAGCCTCCACCATCTGGAAGGTCAAGTCAGAAGTCACACAATACCAGGTTACAGTCCAACGGGTTGTTTGAAATCATAAGCTTTCGGAGCTCCTCTGTCAGGTGAAATGTCAGGAGTGAGACTCCGTAGGCTTGGGATTTCAAATAAACCTATTGGACTATAACCTGGTGTTGTGTGATTTCTGACTTCGTGCACCCCAGTCCAACACTGGCAGCTCCACATCATGGAAGATCAAGGGAAGCCGATTCAACACTGCCATTTCCAAGTGTCCTTCAAAGTCACCTGTCCCACACTAAAAATAAATCACCATTATTTATCATTGCCGGGTCAAAATTCTGGTACTCCCTCATCAACAGCACTCCGGCAACCTCTTGGGAATGTGGGACATTGAGTACATTTAAGGAGGAGATAGATTTCTAATTAGAAATGGGTCGAAGGATTATGGACAATGGACAGAAGTAGAAACAAAAATAGAAATTGCTGGAAAAGCTCAGCAGGTCTGGCAGCATCTGTGGAGAGACATCAGAGTTAACTTTTTGGGTCCACCAACCCTTCCTCAGATATGAGGTTCTGAGGAAGGGTCAGTCAACCCAAAACGTTCAAGAAAGGTTCACCATCTCTTTTTCAAACAGAATTAGGGATGGGCAATAAATGACACCCATTTCCTGAGTCCTTTTCTTTAAAACCGTCCCTACTTTCATTTTCATGTTTTCGTTTTCCACTAAATGCAATGAATTCAGCACTGCCCACACATTAAAATGAAAGTTTTCATAATCCGTCACTGGAAGGAATCGAAACAATGTTGTGCTTTGCAAAATTCAGATTCTAGTACAGTGATCATTTTGGATATGAGAATATACAATCTCAGCGACTTGGTACTTCCTTTGCAAGGCTGAGGATTCATGGTCATTCAAGGGAAGGGGAGGCAAGTGTATGCTCACAGATACACGACACATTTTGCATTGGCCAGTGCACCGCATTAACAGGAACATTACACATCCTGAATCCACGCCCAGTATAGTGTTTCAGCTCTCCTCCCCCCACAGTTCCAATATGCTCTTTTAGTTGCATTACATCACCTCCTGGATTTGACAATTACATCACATCACGATTGAAGCAAAGCACAGGTGCAGGTCATTGCCCTTGCCTCCGAAAGCTGGCAATAAATCATTTGGCTGCTGGGTCAGTGTACATTCTGGGGCTGAAAATTAGCTCGACTCCTTAATTGGAAACCTCTGCTACTCCCACATAATACATGGATGACTGAATCGGCCAGAAGGCAGCCTATTAAATTATATCCTGGTGTTCAGTTAACCTGGAGATGGTAACCTGATAGGTTACAAATTAAAGGAGTTTGTTGCTTTAAATTTTTGCCCAACTGTCTACTGTTTTCAGCAGTGTTTCTCAGTTGGACCTTGGCTTAGGGAGCAAGGCAAAGCATAATGAGTCAGCAGTGACTTGTCAATGTCCAAGTGTTCATTTATTTAATTCCACATTCGAAGGGTTTGGGATAGATATGGATCAAGAAACAGGAACAACTCTCCCAGTCAGATCAGAGTTCAATAATGTAACGCAAACCTGAGCCACCGGTTCACAAGCATTACAACACAACAACATTACAGTCACACAAACAGCCTTAGTGTAAACTTCTCATCAGTAACAGATTTCACACCTTTAAAGATGACCAAATCAGAGTTTTCCAACTTTAAACTATGATTGGCGTGGGTTTGTTACTCACTAGATGTATTTTAAAGTGATCACTCACTGCTGGTGGAAAGGTTCCAAATGTTTTAAGTGCACATTCTTCATGTACTGAGTACAGAGAGTGATTTATGGCAAAAATATTCTGTATGTGGAGGGGGGGAGCAACACGATAATTAGTGCCGACAATGCAATGTCCATGTGGGATGGTGATTACAGCAAGAATGCTTCAAAAAGTATTTCATTAACTGTCAAATGCATTATGACACCCTGATGTTATGAAGAGTGTTACATGAACACAAGTCTTCCTTTTTAAGAAGATTAAACCTGGGGAGATTCCACCTTCAACCACCCCCTTAATCTAGAGGTGCTGAGGCCAATAGTGGCAACATCTCCACTGTCTTCAGATGAGCTAACACGATGCATGTGACACTGAAGTTCATATGGAAAAACGTGAACACACAAACACTATCTGAACCTGAGACAATACAGTGTGGAGCTGGAGGAACACAGCAGGCCAGGCAGCACCAGAGGAGCAGGAAAGTTGACGTTTCAGGTCGGGACCCTTCTTCAGAAAACTATCTGAACCTTGTGTTTATCTATCTGAAAAAGTACGCCAGGTATTTCAGTTATGTCAACTTTTCGAGTGGATGATGGACCTAAATTGAGGTGCAAACTAAACATGTCGAATAAAGAAAATTTGCAACAACGGAAAGCTTGTTGTTTGAACAATGCTTTATGTGAATGTTATAAATCATGTACTGTCCTGACAAACGATGTATACATTCATTTAAGTACATGGGGTGCGGCTTTTTTTAAACTTCAGTCCCTTTCTACTCACAAAGGAAAAATTACAAAAATGTGTTTAACTAACAAGATCAGCTGACTGGAAAGCATCAATCTTGGTCTATAAATGATGCTGGTAAATGGGATACTGCAAACTTAAGCTCAGCTCTTGACAAACAATGAGTTGTCTTTCCTGTCTCTGTGCCTAGTGAGTGTAAATCAAATTCAAAGTAACATTCAACAGCCTCATTAAAACCTGCAATAACTGCACTCTGTTTAGATTGGCCTCCAAGGAATAGAACCCAATACTGGGGTTGCAAAAAATAACCTCTAACATTTAAAACAGTTGGCAAAAGAATAAGGGGCAATGACGAGAATTATTTTTCTGCAACACATTGTCAGGAGTCACACTGTACTGCCTGAAAGGGCAATGGTAGCTGCTTTAAGAGTAACTTCCAAAATGGAATTGCATTTATGTCAGCAAAGGAAGCACTTTCAGGGCCAAGGGATAACAGCAATGGAATGGTACTAGGTAAATACTTTTTCAAAAACTTAGCACCCATATGATGGGCCAGTTGACCCCTTCTGTGCTGTACTATGCCATGATATAGTTTTTATACTATTCAAACTAAAAAAAAAGTAACTCAGGCAATCATTTGCCCTGTGGAGTGCTGTGGGCTCTGTGCAGAACAGCTTCTTTCCCACCTTTATTATGGGCCTCTCAAATTTTAAATTTAATGTTGATCTCTCTCTTTGTGTGCCTTCTGCGCAGCCTGTAATGTTGTATTCCTTGCTCTGTTCCAGTACCCCAATGCACTTTGTATGGTATGATCTGCATGCAAAACAAAACTTCTCACTGTACCTAGATACACGTGACAATAATAATTCAAATCAAAAAGGGCTGGCTATTTAAAACTCATGGCTGAGGGAGCAGCGTCACGAGGCATAACAATGATTTGATAAAGATGCTACCCAAATCAAATATCCTATTGTGATAAAGAATATGTAGCTTTCCTCACAAGCCTGCCTGCTGCTTTTTTTTGAGGAAAGAGGTTAGACCTCAACAATAGCACTTGGTTACAGCTGGTTCTAAGCCTGCTGTGAGCTAGCTGGATGACATCATGTTGCAGTAGGCCCCATCTCTGTCTATCACTCTCAGGAGAACAGTGTGCTACTTCTACTGCCTTCTCAGTCGACAGCTCAACCACTTGTTATGCTCCATCAGACAAAAGCTTACCAGCCGTACATCTTCCAGCAGCAACAATATCTCCCCCACTCCACCATGCAAAAAAAAACACTTGTCCAGTTTTCTGACATCAGTCCAGGAGTTGTGTTGCCATGGAACTGTTCCAATAAATCATTTCATCTGGAGCGCGTTTTTTTTTTGGCTCGATTAGATAGCGAGCTTTTGGGATGCTAATACCATTCCTGAGGCATGACATCAGTAGCTCTGTGGTTTACTCAAACATGCCCCAGAAAGGCAGATGTAAGGAGCATCGGTCTGTGCTCATCCGTGGTGGGATATTTAAGCTTCGAGCAATAACATTTAAATCAAAATGCTACCTCCTCTCCCTTTTGTTCCCAGCAGCAATAAGGTACAAAGAGGGGATGTGTGCTCACCATTGCTTCAACATGCTATTCGTCAACAGAGTGTCCTCTGCAGGGTGTACACTGTCATTACATAATTCACAAAGCATTCTCTCTCTCAGCTGTCACACTGTACTTTATGAAGAAGACCACAGTTAACTCTGGATCCCTTGTTTAACCCGTCACTCGCTGTGACCATCCGCTCTGCCTCATTCAAGCCTGCGGAAAAGGAAAGGACTGTGCAGGAACAAGAGACAAGGGCTAGAGCTCACACAAACACTGGCTCCCGAGCCATTCATGGTCCTGACCTCAGGACCCTCTGCCTCTTATCTGTCAATGCCACATGCTCGCCCCCCCCCCCCCCCCCCCACACACATACAAACACCCCCATCACCACCACTACAGCAGCAAGCAGAGGCCCGTGCTCAAGCTGACAAATGGTGTATCAAGAAAAACATACAGTCGCAGCAACTCGCTTCTGCTGGCAACTTCAGTCGTAAAAGTTCGCCTTTTGTTTAATTTTTTTTTAAAAAAGGAAGTTTCTCTACGCACCTCGGATTTCCCTTCCTTCTTTGATCCGCCTGACTCTGATCTTCAGTTTCATCTCCGTTTCGTACATGTTCAGAAGCAGCGTACGAGTTTTTAATAAGCGAAAGGACAAATGTAATTCGGCAGGATCCCGGGGAGAGGAGAGGAGGGGAGGGGGGGAGTGGAAAGCGGATACCGGAATCTCGTCCGTTCTGGAGGTGGTATCGGCGGATCTTCGGATGTATGTGTGTCTGTCTCCTCTCTGTTGTATGTCTCTCCTGCGTGTGTGGATATATCTCTTCTCTGCTGTATGTGTGTCTGTGTGTATCTTGTGTCTCCTCTCTGTTGTATGTGCGTGTCTCCTCTGTTGTATGTGCGTGTGTGTGTGTCTCCTCTCTGTTGTATGTGTGTGTGTATGTCTCCTCTCTGTTGTGTGTGTGTGTGTATGTCTCCTCTCTGTTGTATGTGTGTGTGTGTATGTCTCCTCTCTGTTGTATGTGCGTGCGTGTGTGTGTCTCCTCTCTGTTGTATGTGCGTGTGTGTGTGTCTCCTCTCTGTTGTGTGTGTGTATGTCTCCTCTCTGTTGTATGTGTGTGTGTGTATGTCTCCTCTCTGTTGTATGTGTGTGTATGTCTCCTCTCTGTTGTATGTGTGTCTCTCTCCTCTGTGTATGTGTGCAGACTCCAAGCCGTACTGCAGCAGGGCTACAACACAATACTCTCTCCAGAGAGACAGAGACAGAGCTTTCCCAACTCATGGGAGAGGCGGTGTGCAGCTCCGCATTCCTGACTCAGCGCGTAAATATGCGACCACCTTTCAGCCTCAGAAGGACGGGCTATGTGTTTTCGAAATGTTTCTTTTCCCGCTTGCGGGTGTTGGGGGGGGGGGGGGGGGGGTAGTGACACACGCTGTCGGAAGGAAAAGGTGCAGTTTCTGAAAGACTCCGGTTAAGGTTTCCTGTTGGATTATTCAGCGCAATTGCACGCCTCGCCCCTCCCCTTCTACACAACTCCACTGCTTTCAACTTTTCAGCATATTTGGCCGTCCGATAATCGCTCTTTTCCTTTCTGCAATTTTTTTCCCTTTCCGTTGCTAAATTGCGAGGTGGGGCGTCGGGGGGGTGGGTGGCGGTATGTTCCTTGTTTACGGAGGGGTTGCCGCTGCAGTGGTTCTTTTCGTGCCGAAGAAAACACAACCTAAACCAGCCGGGGATGGATCTGCAGCTTTTCATGGCATACGGTAGGCGAGCGGTGCAGCACACATACTGCCTGCTGTCAAATGTAGCCCCATTGTGCATTGTGTTCCCTGGGAATGAATGCGACCCAGAGCAGAAGGACATTTGTGAAACACATTAACACTTCACGTGGTGCCCCCTCCCAGCACAAAGCAGGACAGCAGTTTCATTTCCATGACCTTTTCACCCTTTGGCACTTGGTATCGTGCAGCAAGGTGCCTGGAAACAAAAATTTGCGGTTTAAGTCTGGACTGTGCTGTCATTCCTAAGGTCAGCTGTGGTTGCTGGGGTCAGTTTAGGGCTGTGATGTGGAGGTGCCGGTGTTGGACTGGGTCAGAAATCACACAACACCGGCTTATAGTCCAACAGGTTTATTTGAAAACACAAGCTTTGGGAGCCTCACGCAGGTGTTAGTGAGAGAGGTGGCATCAGACACTGAATTTATGAGTAAAAGATCAAAGGGTCACACCACTGATAAGGATGTATTAAAATAATCTAAGATGCTGTTAAATCTTTAATCAGTTAGAAGGTTTTAATTGATTAATATGTATATGTAAATCCCTGAATTTATTTCAAGTCACTGACCTGAGAGAACTAAAGGTTTTATAAGTGTAGAGGTGACACTTTAGGCCAGACAATGCATGTTTGGTGTGAGGCCTTGTTTAGAATGTTTGTGTTTTGGTTTGGTATCAGACTGGTCTTATTTCTAAAGTAGGAATTTATAAAATGCCACATTGACTGCCTGTACATAAATTGTGTGCTTTTTGAACAAAATAGAATGTACCTGCAAATACAAATTCATCCCGTAGATTTACATGTGTGTGTGCATGTGTGTGTGCGTGTGTGAGGGAGAAAGATCCTGTATGTGTGTGAGCGAAAGTGGGGTTGAGAGATGTGTGTGTGAGAGTGGGGGGATAGAGAGAGTGTGTGTGTGGGGTGGGGAGAGAGAGAGAGAGAAAGTGTGTGTGTGTGTGTGAGTGAGTGTATAGTGTGGTGGGGTCACCTGTAGTGCGACATGAACCCAGTTTAGGGCTCTGCTGGATGTGCTGATCTGCCAAGGACCGCTTCACTCACTCAGCCTGCAAGCCCCATGTTTAACTTTGAGATGACTCGAACTCATATCAACAAAGTATTTTGAACAAGCTCACCCCCCCCCCATCACCACGAATAAAGCAGGTGTTTGTTACGTTACTATAAATAGTAGGAGGGCGGAGGAAAGAAGGCATTAATCGCATTTATACGAGATTCTTCACCCATCTCAGGATGCCTCAAAGCATTTTACAACCAATAAAGTACTTTTAAAGTGCAGCCACTGTTGCAACACAGGAAAGGATAAATGAGGCAACAATGGCTTTTCGTACCCCTGACCATTCCACTAATTACCAAACTTCCCCACTGTTTATATCCTTTATTCCATTACCATGAAATCCGCCACACAGCCCTCTTCCAGAGGTGCAGCGCAAAACCCAGAAGCTATAGTTAGACAGGAGTCTCAGGACAAACGTTCACTTCTGTCCATGTACCTTATCCAATTACACTGTTGGTGTAACTGTCCTGTTATATCTCACGGTATGTCAGTAATGCCTTTAAGAGACACGCTTATGATATCATCAGTATGTGACCTGAGGGTATAAAGGTCTCAGATACCAACTTTACTGGGGCCACTTGAAGCATGGCATGCTGAGTGTGTGCAACTGTTTGTAACTGTATAGCATAATGTTAGCCCAGACACTGACTGTAATATGTGTATATGAGGAGCTGTAATAAACAGCTGTTAAGTCTTTCTGTACCATGCTACCCACATCTAGTTCTTAAGTGATGGAAATGACCATAAGCATTGCTGCTTCAGGTAACAATACCCTGTGTCAAAATCCCACATCTTGGTGCAATTCAATTGCCAGGCCTGGAATCCACAGGCAGCAAAGATATATCAGAAACCCCAGGTATGCCAACCTCTTAATGCCTATTTACAGATCAAATGTTCAGCTTAGAGATAGTAGGAACTGCAGATGCTGGAGAATCTGAGATAACAAGGTGTAGAGCTGGATGAACACAGCAGGCCAAGCAGCACCAGAGGAGCAGGAAGGCTGACGTTTCGAGCCTAAACCCTTCTTCAGAAATCTGAATTTCTGAAGAAAGTTCTAGGCCCGAAATGTCAGCCTTCCTGCTCCTCTG